CACCTGGGGAAGAATACCAAGAGCACCATTATTAGCAAGGGTATTTGTGCCGGCAAGAGCAACGGCAGCTACCGTGGCTTGGTGAAGATTGGTCCGCGCGCAGAAAATGCCCGCAACTTCTCGCAGTGTGATTCGCTCTTGATGGGAAGCAGTTGCGGTTCGCACACCTTCCCCTACATAGAAACGCAAAATAAAACCGCCCAGGTAGAGCACGAGGCCACCACCTCTAAAATTGGTGAAGACCAGATTTTCTACTGCAACCAACGCGGCATAGGCGAAGAAGAAGCCATTGCCCTGATTGTGAATGGCTATTGCAAAGATGTGTTGAATCAGCTGCCGATGGAGTTTGCGGTGGAAGCGCAGAAGTTGTTGGCCATTTCGTTGGAAGGAAGTGTTGGATAATTGGTTGAAAGTGCAAGGTTAAAAGTTGAAAGTTAAAGGTCAAGGTTGGAAGTTATGGCAACAGTTGAGCATTTTGAAGACTTGAGGATTTGGCAGGAAGCCAGAGCCATTTGCCAATGGTTTTGGACCATTGTAAAGTCTACTGACCTTGAAAAAGACTTTAAGCTTCGCGGACAGGCCGATGCCTCCAGTGGTTCCGTCATGGACAACATTGCCGAAGGATTTGAACGAAATGGTAATCGCGAGTTCATTCAATTTTTGTCTGTTGCACAAGGAAGCTGTGGTGAATTCAGATCACAGTTATATAGAATGCTTGATCGAGGTTACGTTGAGGATTCTGTTTTTGAGGAGAAGAAAAGCGAACTTTTGAAGTTGAGCAAGGGAATAAGTTCATTTATTAATTATTTAAAAAACTCTGAACATAAAGGTTGGAAGTTTAGTGAAGGTCAAGCGCCTTATGGCTTTGAGGAATAAACCTTAAACTTTTCACTTTCAACCTTAAACATAAAAAAGTATGTTAAAAATATCAAACTTACATGCCGCCATTGACGGCAACGACATATTAAAAGGAATAGACCTGGAGGTGAAAGCCGGTGAGGTGCACGCCATCATGGGCCCTAACGGTTCGGGGAAGTCTACGCTTAGCAGCGTGATTGCCGGCCGGGAAGACTATGAGGTAACCGAAGGCCACATAGATTTTGAAGGCGAGGAACTGATGGACCTTGGGGCCGATGAACGCGCCCATAAAGGCATCTTTTTGTCTTTCCAATACCCCATTGAAATTCCCGGGGTAACGGTGACCAATTTTCTAAAAACCTCCATCAATGAATTGCGCAAAGCACGCGGGGAAGAACCCATGCCCGCCAACGTGATGCTGAAAAAAATGCGCGAAAAAATGGAGCTTTTAGAAATGGACAAAGGCTTTTTAAGTCGCAGCTTGAACGAGGGTTTTTCCGGAGGCGAGAAAAAGCGCAATGAAATTTTCCAAATGGCCATGCTGGAGCCCAAATTGGCCATTCTGGACGAAACCGACTCTGGATTGGACATTGATGCCTTGCGCATAGTGGCCAACGGAGTAAATAAGCTGAAAAGCAAAAACAACGCGGTGATAGTAATTACCCACTACCAGCGCCTTTTAGATCACATTATCCCCGATTATGTGCACGTGTTGCATCAGGGGCGTATAGTGAAGTCAGGCGACAAAAACCTGGCCCTGGAGTTGGAAGAGAAAGGGTATGACTGGTTGAAAGAAGCAGCGGTTTAGTAAATGGCTGAATATAAAGGCCGCCAACTTCGTTACTCTTGTGCCAAAAATGCTCATCTGCCTTAGGCAGACTCCGCTATTTGGCGCTGCGAAAGCCTCGTTGGCAAACTTTCTAGCTCAGCCATATTGGTTTTGGGTTAGGGGTGAAGTTAACCATGAACCAGCAATTGAACATTAAACGAATAACCAATAGTGGAAGCACTTAAAGATAAATTAGAGTCATCATTCATCGTTTTTGAAAACGAATTAAACGGTCAGGCCAAAACACCTATTCACAAGGTGCGGCAGGAGGCTTTTAAGCGTTTTGAAAAGATGGGTTTTCCCACCAAGCGCGATGAAGAGTGGAAATACACCAATCTGAAACCCATCCTGAAACACGATTATCGGGTTTTTCCCAAGGATGAAAACTCGGTGGATTTCAGCCAGGTTAAAAAGTATTTCCTCAGCGATATTGATACTTACAAGCTGGTATTTGTGGATGGTGTTTTCAGCTCGTGGCTCAGCGAAACTACCCATGAAAAATTTGATGTATGCACCTTTAGCAGCATGCTCAATAAATACGCTGATGTGGCCGAGGAGTATTTCAACCAGGCCTTGCCAGAGTACGAATCCCTGTCAGCAGTAAATACGGCATTCGCCAAGGAGGGTGCTTTTATCCGCATTAAGAAGAACCAAACGGCTGATAAACCCATACAGCTTTTGTTCTTTACCACAGAACACGGGCAGGAAGTGATGACCCAGCCCCGCAACCTGATTGTGGTGGAAGAAAATGCCGAGGCCACTATCACCGAAAGGCATCAAAGCCTAAGCGAAAAGCCAGTACTTACCAACGTTGCCACGGAAGTATTTGCCCACCGCAACAGCCGATTGCACTATTATAAAATTCAAAACGACAATACTGAGGCCTCGTTGATTGACAACACCTCAGTTTTGCAATACGGACATAGCAACGTTCGCATTGGCACCTTTTCGTTTGGCAACCGCTTTGTGCGCAACAACCTCAATATTTTCCTGAAAGAAGAACATACGGAAACTTCAATGGATGGTATTACGGTAATTGACGGCAAGCAAATGGTAGATCACCACACTTTGGTGGATCACAAAGTGCCCAACTGCTACAGCAATGAGTTGTACAAAGGCATTTATGACGATAGTGCCAGGGGCGTTTTCAACGGAAAGGTGATGGTGCACCCACACGCGCAAAAGACCAATGCTTTTCAGCAGAACAATAATATTTTGCTTACCGACAAGAGTTCGGTAGATACTAAGCCGCAGTTGGAAATTTACGCTGATGACGTGCAGTGCTCGCACGGCTGCACTATTGGTCAGTTGGATGAAGATGCGCTCTTTTACCTGAAATCGCGCGGCATTCCAGAAAAAGAGGCCAAAGCATTATTGCTTTATGCCTTTGCCAGCGATGGTTTGCGCAACGTTAAAATACAAGAGTTGCGCAAAAAACTCAACCGCCAAATCGCTAAAAAACTGAACGTTAATCTTGATTTTGAACTGTGAGCAAGACAGCTGAGGCGGTAAGCATCGAAAATGTGAATGACCTGCTGGACGTACCGCAGGAAGATTCTACCACCCCTGTAAAAGAGGTGGAGGCCCGTGCCATTTATGATTTCATTAAAAAGCAGGGTTTACAGCGTACGCTGGAAATAGGCTTCGCTTACGCGCGATCGGCCTCGCACATTATGCTGGCCACGGGCAATAAGCACATTGCCATAGATCCCTTTCAAAAGCGCTACGGCAGCGGTGGCTTAGCCAATGTTAAAAAGCTGGGGCTGGACGATAAACTGGAGCTGATTCACGATTTTTCACATAATGCCTTGCCCGCTTTGGTTAAGGAAGACCGCAAATTTGATTTCATTTTTATTGATGGCGATCACAAGTTTGACGGCATTTTTGTGGACTATTACTACTCCGACTTCCTGATTGACAAGGGAGGCTATTTGCTGTTTCACGATACCTGGATGCGTAGCACCCAAATGGTGTTGCAGTTTATCCGCAGCAATCGTGAAGATTACCATGAAATTTCCATCGGCCATAAAAACATGACCCTCTTTAAAAAGGTTAGTGATAATGACCAGCGGGACGGCATGCACTTCCGCGAGTTTTATACCACAAAATCGTTTACGCGCCACCACGCCACCATGCACATGTATGAAAACCCCAACGGGGCTATGCGAAAGGCCTGGTTGGGCTTGAAGAAATTGATGGGGAAGTAGTGCTATACTATTACCCGCAGCCCCAAAGGGGGAATAGCGAAGGCGTGAAAAAAGCTTCCCTTTGGCGTTCCGCGTTGCTGCGCCACACGCGGAGATTTGGGGGCAGAACGAGAAAGATGATTTTCGAATTATGGAAAGTAAAGTAGAGGCACATACAAAGTTTGATATTGACAAAATCCGCCAGGATTTTCCCATTCTGCATCAAGAGGTAGAGGGAAAACCGCTGGTTTATTTTGACAATGCCGCTTCTACGCAAAAGCCCAAGGTGGTAATTGATGCGATAAGCGAGTATTACAAAACCATTAACAGCAATGTACACCGCGGGGTGCATCACTTAAGCCAAAAGGCCACCGATGCTTTTGAGCAAGGACGAAGCACCGTACGCAAACACCTGAACGCAGCTAATAATCATGAGATTATTTTCACCAAGGGCGTAACCGATAGCATAAACCTGGTGGCAGGCTCCCTGGCCAAAGGCCTTATCCGCGAAGACGATGAAATTATCATAAGCACCCTTGAGCACCACAGCAATATTGTGCCCTGGCAAATGCTTTGTGAGCAAACAGGCGCTAAACTCAAGGTTATTCCAATTAATGATAAGGGCGAACTGCTGCAGGAGGAATATGAAAAACTGCTGAGTAAACGAACCAAATTGGTGGCGGTGAATCACGTTTCCAATGCCTTGGGAACGGTAAACCCCGTGAAAGAAATGATTGCCAAAGCCCATGCCGTGGGCGCCTGGTTTTTGGTTGATGGTGCTCAGTCGGTGCCCCATATGAAAGTAGATGTGCAAGACCTCGATGCCGATTTCTACACGTTTAGCTCCCATAAAATTTACGGACCCACCGGTATCGGTGTACTTTACGGCAAAGAATCAATACTGGAAACCATGCCCCCCTATCAAGGCGGAGGAGAAATGATTGCTCAGGTAACTTTTGACAAGACTACTTACGCTGGTTTGCCGCATAAATTTGAAGCCGGCACTCCCCACATTGAAGGCGGGGTGATAATGGCCACTGCTTTAGATTATATGAATGCCCTAAACCTGGACGAGATTGCCGCTTATGAACAGGAGTTGCTAGAATATGGCACGGAACAATTGCGAAATAACTTTACGGGAATTCGCTTTATAGGCGAAGCCGATACTAAAGCCAGTGTTATTTCTTTCCTCCTGGGCGATATTCACCCCTATGATGCGGGCGTCATCTTAGACAAGTTAGGGGTGGCTATTCGCACCGGTCACCATTGCACACAACCATTGATGCAGCGCTTCAACATTCCTGGCACCATGCGGGCAAGCTTTTCATTTTACAACACCAGGGATGAGATTGACCAGATGGTGGAAGCCTTGAAGAAGGCGGAGTCTATGTTGTCGTGATTAGTTAATAAGTGGAATGGTTTAGTAGTTGATTTGTACATCTTCATGCTAACGAATTAACTTTTCAACGAATCATCTTTTTTAACTATAAATGTCCCGTAGGGGACATCCAAATCTGGTACGCCCTCCCAATCCTGGTGAAGCTTAATTCGTTCAATTTCACCCGGCTCGGCCGGCTGGAAAATTTCCTCCACCGGTTGCAAGTTGTTTTCTTGAAAAAGCTCACGGAAGTACGATAGCCGCAGGCGGTTTTGGGGCTGTATCTTATTATCTATCAGCCTCCACGCTGCCCGCGAAAAGCGCAAGTAATTAAACTTTGAAATGCTAGTATCAATGTGTACAAAATGGTCGTAAACCCCAATGGCGTGGTAGCCAAAACCGCCCATTTTGGTAATTCTTGAAATTTCCCTTGTAATACCCGGCAATGCTTGCTCGTCAATGTGTTCATACACGTTTACCGAATAGCACATATCAAAGCTATTGTCCTCAAATCCGGTTTTGGCCGCGTCTAAAATTTGTTGGGTAATGCCGAGTTTTTTAAGGCTAGTCTCTACCGGGTCGGTGGCGGCCGTTTGTTGCAGCCCTTCCAGAATTTTCCAACGCTCCTGGTCAATTGCTTTTATCCACGCACCTAACTTGCCGGCATCTGCGTATTGTAAGAGTTTCTCTACCAGTGTTTGTAGGTTTTCTTTCCGCAAATGCGGATTGAGGTCAACCGTTATCACCTCCCTACTTCCGCTCAATGCGAAGGCAAAGGGCACCACCGCATGCCAGCCGGTACCTATTTCAAAAACACGGCTGTTTTTAATTTGAAAGCCATGCTGCCCGCTGTACTCCTGAAGTTCAAGAAAGTGATCAAGCATGGTTTCAAAAAACTCATCGCTCAGTAACACCGCCTTTGAAACGTGCTTCTGAAAGAGGTAGTTGAGTTTAAACCCGCCCGGCATTATTCCAAATAGCTTTTGGATAACGGCCTTAATAATCCATTTTTTCATGCTTTATCTGAAAGGAAGGCCAATATTAGTAAAATAGTTTAAGGGCTCTGTAAACTGCCGCTTTTCATCCTCAAGTCTAGCCGCGGGAAGCCGCTGGGCAAATGCAAACGTGAACATATTTCACCTTCCAAAATTTATATAGACTAATTGCAAATAACACTTGGGCAATGGCACTCTGTTTGAGACCTTTGCCAATCAATTGAGAACCATGAATAGCATAGCCGAAAAGCAGCAAGAAATAATTGATGAGTTTGCCATGTTTGACGATTGGATGCAGAAGTACGAGTACCTCATTGAATTGGGGAAGTCGCTTCCGCTGATTGACGAACAGTACAAAACCGAAGATAATATCATCAAGGGTTGTCAAAGTCAGGTTTGGCTTCATGCTGAAAATAACGGTGAAAAAGTTCAATACACAGCCGATAGCGATGCCATTTTGACCAAAGGCTTAATTGCCCTGATGATTCGGGTACTGAGCGATGAGAAACCGGAAGAAGTAGTGGCTGCTCAAATGGATTTTGTTGATGACATTGGCCTCAAAGAGCATTTGAGCCCTACCCGAGCCAATGGATTGGTAAATATGATTAAACAGATGAAGTATTACGCCTTAGCTATGCAGGCGAAGTAGTTCATGGTTGAAAGGTTATTAGTTCAAGGTTTTTGGAACGTAACCTTTAACTTTTGACCTTGAACCTTCAACTTAAAACAACAAGAAGATGACAGACGCGGAAATGCAAAAAGTGGGAGAGGATGTGGTAGATATGCTGCGAAGCATCTATGATCCGGAAATTCCCGTAAATATATACGAGCTGGGCCTGATTTACGATGTTCAGGTGAGCAATGAGGGCGATGTTAAAATACTGATGACCCTGACTTCGCCCAACTGTCCGGTGGCCGAAAGTTTGCCCGAAGAAGTGAAACAAAAGGCCGGCACGGTTGACGAAGTGAAAGACGTAGAGGTGGAGCTCACATTTGATCCGCCCTGGACCAAAGACATGATGAGCGAAGAAGCCATGTTGGAACTTGGGTTTTTGTAGGATGCTAATTGCGGCTTATGGAAGAAATTGAAAATAAAGTAGCAAAATCGGGCCTAATAACCCTTAGCCTGGAAGATTATTACCCACGCGGGGAGCGGGCTGAAATTGACCTCGCGCCCTGGCTTTACGAGGGCGTGATGCTGCGCGAGAAGGATTTCCGCGAAAGTGTTAAAAATCACCACTGGGAAAAATATCGCAACGCCTACGTGGCGGTTTATTGCAGTGAGGACGCTATTATTCCACAGTGGGCCTACTTGCTTATCGGGGCCAAGTTGGCTGGCATAGCCAGGAAAACAGTGTACGGCAACCCTGAGTTTATGGAGGCACTGTTAATGACTGAAGCCCTAGACAAGGCAGACCTATCGGATTACAAAGACCAACGAGTGATTGTAAAGGGTTGTGGTGATTTACCCATTCCGCCACAGGCCTATTTGCATTTTGCGGTGAAATTGCAACCGCTGGTAAAAACCTTGATGTTTGGCGAAGCCTGTTCAACCGTTCCCATTTACAAAGCGCCTAAAAAGCAATGACCGATTTTAACATTCTTGGCATAGAAAAACAGATTGCTCCGGAACGTGAGGCCCTTCTGCAACACGAGCTTTACAGCAACCTTAACACCATTGAGGATTTGCGTCTGTTTATGCAGTTTCATGTATTTGCGGTATGGGATTTTATGGTATTGCTTAAGGCCTTGCAGCGTAGGCTTACCTGTGTAGATGAGGCCTGGCTGCCCAGCAATAACCGCATTGCCCGCAGGCTGGTAAACGACATTGTGCTATGCGAAGAAAGCGATTTGGACATAAATGGCCAGCCCGCCAGCCACTATGAAATGTACCTGGCCGCCATGAAACAATGCGGTGCCGATACTGCGAGCATAATAAAATTAATATCCTGCCTACAGGCGGGTCACAGCCACAAAAGCCTTGTGAAGTATAATATTGCCGAACTTCACCAAGCACAAATAAATTTCTTGCGCGCCACCTACAACATTGTTTCAGGAAATAATACGCATGAAATTGCCGCGGCCTTCACCTTTGCCCGTGAAGATTTAATTCCCGACCTATTTTCGCAAATTGTAATAGACCTTGACCGCAAAGCCCCCGGGCAACTCAGTGCCTTAATTTACTATCTGGATCGCCATATTGAACTGGATGGCGATGAACACGGCCCCATGGCCCATCAAATGATAAAGGAGCTTTGCGGCAATGACCAAAATAAATGGCAGGAAGCCGAGCGCGCTTCCAAACTGGCCCTTCAGGCGCGACTGGATTTTTGGGACGCCATTAATGGCGCCCTAATAAAAAACCGGCCCCGCGTTGTAGCCTAAAGTGAGGCTTTGTTTGAAGCTTCCAATATGCTATCGGCTCGTTGTATGCTCAAATTGGTTTGCTGCTCTATTTGCAGCATTTCATCTTTTTGTCCCCGCAAATATTCTACAGTTTCTTCCTTGCTCCAACCCTCATCTTCGGGGTATTTAAAATTGCGCATCCAATTCATCATGCCCTCCTGCGCCTGATTCAATTCGCTGGCAATTGACATAAACCGGGCCGAGTCGGGCTTACCTGCGGCCGTTTTTTTCAATTGTGTTTGCAGCTGGCTCATCTTGTTCATTTTCGGCATTACCCGGTCGTGAACAGCCATTACATCGTGCTTCAACTCTTTCACTTGCGTGGACGTGGCCTCTGAGTTTTCACCGTTCTCGGCCTCTGAGCTTGCCGATTGGTTTTGGCAGGCGCTTGCGAAAAGTACAATTGCAAAAAGTAAGTTCAACTTCTTAAACATGAATAAAATTTTGCCGCAAAGTTACTACATAGTGCAAAGCATGAGCTGAACCCTTCGGCCCCATCATTAACTTTCATTTTTCTGATACACAACTAAAGGAAGATTATGGTTTGTTCCCGAGCTTTGCAATATGAAATTAAACACGTCCGACTGGCTAAAGCTAGGCATCCTTGCCCTTGTGTTTTTTGGTGGGATTTACTTTGCCTATCAAATAGTTAAACCCGAGAAATCATTACCCGTTTACAACCCTTCCGACCTTGACCGCAGGTTGGTGGCAGATGACCTTCAACGCAAAGGAAGCAATCATAAAGTTCTGCCTTTCAAACTTATCAATCAGTTTGGCGACACCATAACCGAGGCAGCTGTAAATGGCAAAGTTTACGTGGCTGATTTTTTCTTTACCGTTTGTCCGGATATCTGTCGTGATATGGCCGCCCAAAAGCGAAGGCTGCAAGAAGAATTGAAGGCTGAGAAAGATTTTGCCATCCTTTCTCATTCGGTTACTCCAGTGTATGATTCGGTTCCCGTTATTAAAGCCTATGCCGATAAGCAAGGCGCCATTCCGGGTAAATGGCACATTTTAACGGGTGATAAACGCCAAATTTATAAACTGGCCCGAGAGAGCTATTTTGCCGTTTTGGATGAAGGAGGAAATGGCGATGAAAGTGATTTTATCCATACCGAAAACTTTGTGCTTATTGATAAGGAGAAACGCATCAGGGGCTTTTATGACGGCACCAGTGCAGAGGATGTGAATCGGCTAATTTCAGATTACTACATTCTTAAAGGGAAGTAAGCCTCACGCGAGTGGCTTTCATTTGTTGGTGGAGCATATC